CCAAAACCTTAGTTCGGATTCTTGTAGACCATAATCTTAATCATGTGTAAGTAACTAAAAATTTAAAAAGTAACAGCTATGAATAAGATATATTAGTTTTACACTTCTGAAGTTAATTATTATATTATAAATATTGTAATATCACTAGGTTGTGAGCTATTGAATCCAGAAGTATGATAGGTGAAGGGTCATACAACAGGAAGGGAGTTACTGTGGCTTTAAAATAATGAAACTCTTAAAATTTTCTTTTTCTCCAATATCTTTAGAATCGATTAAGTTTATAGAATTGTGCAAATACCTATTTAGAAAATAACTTAGTAGTAATAAATAAAATTTGTAGTCTTTTATTTTCTCTTTTTTTATTATATAACAGAAGTTATATAAAAGACCCAAATTGTAATTTCATAATTGACAAACCATAGCTGATTCAAATCGAGAAAAAAAGCAAAAAAGATGTTAACTTATTTAAGAATCATAATTGATAAATCTGTAATTGTGGTTTAAATGTTTACAATAGTAATAAAAAATAAGGATATTAAATATGAGCTAATTTAGAAACAATTTCTAAGAGGACTGTGCAGGTATAACAGATTTAGGCTTTAGTAAGTTTAATAAATTTAAAGCATATATACATATTAGATATCTTAAATATATATGTTAATAGAACAAAACTGTAAATCCTTACCTGCTACTCCAAAATAAATCAACTTATTAGTTTTATGATGAAGTCTATTAGAAGCATGATAATTTGGTTTTCCTATCGTATTTTTTGTTTCCATAATTTTTACGAAAATATCTCGACTCTATTGTTAGTATAGATAGTAGTATAATTCAAAAAAGGAAATTTTAACAATGAAAATGATTAGTAATCATTGTTATAATTTCCTCAAGAATAAGTAATTGTTTTTTTTTTAATTTTTAGATTACACCTGATCTTGTTTTCTAATTTGCTATAGATGTATCATGTTATTAAAGATTGTCGATTTTATCCAATTAGAAATGCAATTTACTCTCAACCAATAGTAACTTGGGAGAAAATTAGTAAAACTTTATAATTGTTAGAGAGAAAAAAGTAAAAATATCAGTGATTGGCATAAAGCTATATTTATAAGTAGATCACTGTTACATGTGATCACAAGAGCCTGTGATCGAAATTAATTTGAGACCGAAAAGAAATTGAAATCCCACTGTTACTATAACAGATATATAGAAACTAATAGCGATATAGTAAAAAGAAGAGTAAGTAGAATCAGTGCATAAAATCTATGTGCATAATGTGCACAGAGCACTTTTTTTAAATGTTTAATGCTAGAAATGTGCATACAATTATTGATAAATACCAAAAATTTGCAAATTCATTTACATAAATTATGTCATTATGCATAAGATTTATATACTTTTACATAGACAAAGCACACTTAATTGATTGCTACAGTAATACAAGATACCCAATTCTCGAATCACATTTTTTAGTTGTGTCGGATTTGTTTGTTCTACCATTACACATATGCAACCTTTCTTGAACACCTCAATATTAAACATTTGTTCACATAACTGTAGCAAAACATTTCCTATAATAGTTTTTAAAAGAATAATTTAACAAAATAAGTTTATAATACAATAGTCATTTTGAGCATATTAAGCCTTTTTTAACAATTCATCATAAATGTTATGTATGATTAAATCAGTATATACAAATTAAATTAGTGTGTAGTATTATTCTATTAGCAGTACAGAAAACAAAAAAGATTTTCAGAAAAATAAAACATTTGAAAAGTATAATAGTGCTAAGATATTACGTAATTTGGGTTATTGCTTTAAATATTATTTTTAATAAAAAAATTTAACGTCAACCCAATTACTATCATATTATGCCATGGTAATACCTTACATTTTGGAACTAATCTACCTCCAAAACATCTTTCTTTAAACCACCTTATAAAAAAATTTGTTTATAAGATATTTGACATTGGTAGTATTATGAGAGCTTGCTAAACAAGACAAATGGCATACATGTACAAAGTGTACTGGGGGAATGTTATTGAGAATTAAAATTGGATAAATACAATGCCATCTCGTATCTGAATTTGTTTGTTTTTTAAAGATTAAACATTTTAAAAGAGAATCAGTACACCCAGTATTTTTTAACCAATCAATTCATACAAAAGGGTATACAAATTCATCATTATACTTATGAGTAAAAATTGCTCTGACAATAACATAAGACTCATTATCTTCTTCTTTTATAAGTACAACGTCACCAATATGAAGCTTGATATGTACATAGAATTCTCCATTATCGTCTAAAAGTGTATATCAAATATACTGGTAAAGTTTTATAAACCATGTTTTTATGTATCTACATTGTCCCATATATTCATTATATGTTGCAAAAAGACCATCCTTTAAAGCAGTATTATTATCAAGGTGACTTGTTAATTGTGATGATTGAATTTCATTATTAGTTAACTCTTGTTGAACCTGAATGTTGATAATTCTAGAGTCTTCTGAAATTATACCCATCTCTAAAAAATATTAAATATAAAAAAGTAATTTAAAAAACATAATAAAAATAAAATTTATTAATATAATATAAAAATAAATAAATAAATAAATACAATTAATGAGAAACTACCTTCTTTAGTTATATTTTTAGGGTATAAATCTTCAGTTATATATTATCTTGTAAGAAGTGGTTGAAGACGTTGATCTGTAATAATACATCTCAAGCTGTCTTCAACATTACCTTCACTAAATCTATCATCAATTCCATCATCCATTAAATACCGAATGGCTTGTAGAACATTGGCACAGCATATTAAATCCAATTTAAGATTTTTTCGATTGGTTTTAAGGACAGCTTGTTTGGAAAGACTGTGTATCATTTCTTCAACAGCACAATTTGTATTGACTAATTTGCATAATTTTTTTAATTTTGCATTAAATAAAAATTGATATGAAGATTTGGTAGGTTTTTAAAATTATTGGAAAATAACTGTTATAAAAAAGCATTAAAAAATATTTAAAAAAAGGTCAAATATTTATTAGAGAAATTCTACTTTCACCAAGTAGGAGTTATCGATATTATATAAGTTAGTGGTCAAATTATATAATTAATAAAAATTATACAACAGATAACTCCAACCCAGGTTAAAATAGAATTTCACTATTTATTATATAAATATCATGTATTAAATATGAAACAATACTTCTGTTAATATGTGATGCTCTTCTAAAAGTATACCTTGAAGATGATTCAGATTACTTTAGGTTAGCTTTATTTTAAAACAATATACTGCAATGTCCACTACAGTTACCTAGCATAAGATGATATTATTAATTACTTGTTTGATAGATCATCTTCAATCATTAGATGATAATGACAATTGATCACATAAAGCTGTAAGCTCATTTAAAATGATACAATCTGGTATTAGAAAACATCTTAAAATAAATGGCATTACTATAGACAATTGTAATGCATCTGAAAGCATGAAACTTTTAAGGTGAGTAATAGGATTAGGCATATGATGCCAAATAAAAGGCTTTTCAAAATATTGCCAGTATTTTAAAAATTGATTCTTTCTATTTTCATTTAATAAGTTAAGGGTGCATTCTAATAATCGTTAAATCTTGCCAGCAACCGCATGATAGGCATCTTGAGGAGTCTGTAAATGATGATCTTAAGATAAAGTTGACAAAATTTCTGGTTTCAATCAGAGACCATTATGCTTTGTAAAGTCTTTAATCTCTAATTTAGTTGCCCTTGACTTATTAATGCCTGTAATTCAATAAAACACTCTTTGGTAATATAATGAAAACATGCAGCATGTATTCTATCAAAGGTGGTATCAGTCAGTTGATTCTTTGGAGCAAGACAATTTTGGCATCTGTAGATAGCACCCTGTTTTTTAACATCGCTAAGTTCATTTTCCTAGAATACAGATTGCTTTGATTAATTTAAGTTATAGTAAAACACAGTGTACAGTTATACTTCCATACAACCACCTTTTATATAAGCACATTAGGTTTATAAACATACTTATTTTTTAAACAAACTACTATTAAATATATAAAAATAATTTTCTATATAAGCCTATTTTAAGTGTGTCTTCTATATAAGAACTCTTTTTATAGATCCCGATGGTGTGATTATATGGGAGTGCAACTGTAATTGAATTTAATACACAAAATTAAACTATTCCATTCATAAATTTTCAAACTATAATTTGTTAACTATTTTAAATTACATATCTAAACTTTACTTTAAACCTTGCTTAGACTCAAACTATAATTTGGTTGGTTTAAACTAAACTAAACTCATTTTTACCTGTGGTAAATTGGCTGTTACTAGCCCAACTGAGGAGATGACCCAAACCGATTCATCATTCATATCCATAATAACACCTTTTTCCAATTGATAGAGTTCTTGTAGTAGAGGGCACATTGCATTATCAAAGTGGCTACCAAATAATACAAATCTGACAATAAAGTAATTTTTTAATTGTTTTTTTAAATTAAAAGGCATACTGCCTATTTGAATATAGATGCTCTCTAATGAGTGATAGGTATTGCGATAAGTTCCAAAGTTATCATTATAAATATCAATCATGAATTTGTACAATTTCATATTATGCAAGGGTGGTGGGTTTGGTAAAATAATATATTCAGAAGAGTGGCAATGGCGAAACTTTACTAGTCAAATTTGAATTCGCCTCATAATGGTATCTCGATATAGAATTTCAGATATATGAAAATTATAATAATCAGGCTGCAAAACATCTTTAAGCCATATTGAAGTATGACCTAATATATAATTAGGAGAAATAATTTAATAATTCTCTTCTATCATTCAGAGTTCCTTATGCCCTTGCTGACTTCTATCCTAACTACAATGGACTCCCAACTCATCATGTCTTAAAAACCTTGACATTTTTAAAGTATTATGCATTTGATTATTTGAATGATCAGAACCGGATGGCGCCAAGAATGAGATAATGGCTTCGATTTATCCGAATCACCTTTCATGTTGATTTTTGTTATTGGTATAAATAAACTCTACAAATTCTCCAACAGTATATTCAACTAAAAATTATAGTAAATATCAAAGAAAGGATAAACAAATTATTGTAACAGATGATACTAAGAATTGGAATTGGGATTTATATTAAGTCTATCAAACCTATTAAAACCCAATTATACTTTTTATTAATAACTCTAGTCCTAAATTCTAGCATAACTATATAAAAAAATTAAAAAAAATATTTCAATAATTTTAAAAATATCATAGTAAATAGATCTAATTTTTAGCATCAGCTAAAATTCAGTAATAGCCTATAACCTGTTATGTCTATTGATGTTCTTATGACCTATTATGACTTACAAAATTACTATTACATTATAACTACTTTGCTTATATAAAGTTAAATATAATCCAAAATAGCCAATACTGACTAGAATAACTATAGAAAATAACTTACTTTTATTAATAACAATAGTTGAATCACCATACAAGAGAGATCATTGCCAGATATTACTATGCTATAATATAGATTTTTCTAGAGTTTCTATACCGTGGCCAAAATACATCTTTGCTATTAGCTGTGGGTTATTCAATACATGCTTATGATGTTCTTTTATCGAGATTATATAGGCAGGTTTGACTTATTTTAATGTAGAAAGTATTTTTCTATCATCAATAGGAATAATGTGACTTTTTATATTTAATAAAGGCATTCTTGTTCGTAAAGATCTAAGGCGTCTTACATTTTCAGATGCGTGGTAAGGTCGGAACCTTGGATGTTTGATAATTACTATTAAATCTTCATATTCCTTTGTGGCTTAAAACGATGTAGAGATAAAAATAAGAAAAAGATAAAGATTATAACTGATTTCAAAATAGTTGAAATGGCAAATAAAAGTTTTTTCAGTAAATACCGTGAATACTATGAATACTCAAATACCTGATTACCTTAAAATAGATATCAATTTTACACACAATGTATTGTATATATATACATAAAATCGGCATCGACCTTTAATTAATATGCTGAGGTAATCGAGTATTTGAGTATTCACAGTATTCGCAGTATTCACCAAAAAAATTTTATTTGCCATTTCAACTATTTCGAAGACAGAGATAACTACTTAAACATATGTTATATGAAATCAAGACATATTGTAATAAACTACTTATATATCATATACATAGTAACCTATAGAAATAACTTTTGTTCAGTAAAATTGGTGAAATATGGACCATATTCACCATTAAATGGTTCAAAAGACACAGACCCATCTACTGTTTTTTGATTAGGTGGGTTATCATCAATTAAAATGTTATTATCACTATCTTCAAGATTATTGTTACTATTATCACTGTTCTTAAGTTCGAAGTTATTAATTAAAACATCTCCCAAGTCATCGCTACTATTTCCAAAGTTATCGCTACTATTTTCAAAGTCATCGCTACTATTTTCAATATCATCATAAAAACTGTCATTTTCAATACTATATTCAAAGTCATTATTAATTGAAACACTACTATTTTTAAGGTTACTACTAAGTGCAGAGTCTTGAGGGTTATTCGAAAGTTTAGTTTTATTGTAATATCATTGTTGAATTTTCAGGTGAGGTCTTCTTACTCTGCCTGGATGAATAACAATTTTTTGTTTTAAAGTTTGAATATGAGTCATCATAAGATTAATGCAACTAGTTATGTAATGTACTCAATGATTGAACAATCAAACTCTAAACCAATTTTATTATTTTTTTTTTGTGGTCATTACTTATACAAAGAAGAGTAAATTGTTATCACTTTATCTATTTATTTATATATTGATCTATGATATAAATTAACTTTATTAATAAAGGTAATAGTTAATTTGTAGCCTATATGAATACAAGTAAATGTCTATAATAATAATGATCTCTGCATAATTATGATCATATATCAGAAAATTTTTCAATTTGGCTAAGACATATGATTAGATACATTATAAGACCCCAACATCATTCAAAGAAGTTTTGCAACTAGCTTTAGAGTTAGAATTTGGGTATATTTTGTTGACTTATGTTATGCCAGATTTTAATCAGATAGCGAAATTTTTTATATTGGTCAAATAACAAATGTATGTTCATAATATAAAATAATTATGTACCATAAGAAAAATATTCAAGTTCAAAGAAAGAGCTTCAATTATTACTTAAATACATTCACGTGACTAAATATAATGTTTTTTTATAGCCACCTCAAGTTAATAACAAATTTAGATCCAATAGTGAATCTGACTTTATATTTATTGAGAATTGGTCACTTGACATCAATCGGTAAAGTAACTTGTGCATATGAGATGAAATAATTAATTAAAGTCAATCACTTAAATGTATTAATCATAATCAATTTAAATTGGTCACTTTGATTATAAGTCAATGATAATAAGAGACCGAGTGACTGAGTAATTCAAAGTTAATAATAACGAAAATAAAGCAATTAGAACAGAATTTAGAGCATAACAATAGATATATAAGACAAATCTTATTAACAAGACACAATAAACATAAGAAAATTTAAGAATCAATTCTTATATACACCTTATTAAGATATTGAAATCTAAGCTTTATTGAAAGTGAATTGCCATTGCTTTTAGTAAATTGCCTTCTATACACTTTTGAATAATATTGAAAAAATAATAATTGAATTGTTAATTATTGCTAACTATTAAATATTAACTAAAAATTCGAAGGTCTCATTGTTACTGGGGTGGCTAATTAATAGAATCAAGCATGTGCTTAGTTTTATATGAATTTGCAATATATAGCAGAATTTTTTTTGATTTTAATTATAGCACGTGTAAAATTTAAATAAATGTTTAGCTTTAAACATTATGCCTGATTCCTATTCTTTTTACCTTTATTATCCAATTCTTTCTTTAAAAGTGCCTTAAAATCAGCATCATTAAGGTTCAATATGCCTTCTGCATCATATATATCATAGTTCAAAGTAAGACAATCCAAGTCTGTGATTCTAACAAGCTTTTTTTCTTCATCTAATGTTTCTTCAACCATTTTCAAAAAACAGTCTGATATAAATGTTTGCCATGTCTCCTTAAATTCTGTCGTAAATGTTGCTTCTTCATCGATTGCCTTATAGAACTGGTTAAGAAATGATCTTCATACCTCTTTCTGAAGATAATCTTGAATATCAGATAGTTCAATTTGGGAGGAACATGTAATTCTGTAAATTTAAAATTTTTTTTAGTCAATTATAATAGCTTTATAGTAAACTATTGTATAGCACTTTATAAAGTATCTTGGGTATATATCAAAAAACTTATAGAGTATTGTGTATAATGGTATATAGGTAGAAATATTATTTTAATACAGTAATAGTATATGATATAATATCCGAAACCAGGGTGTGGGTCCCATAGCTTAGCGGTTAAGCTCCCATACTCTTCACAGTCAAGGTCAACAGTTCAAGTCTGGCTGGAGGCAAAATTGAAAGATTTTAGCTTCTGTAACTTAATAAGAAGCCTGTAATTAAATATGAAGCCTTGTAGTTAAGTTCAAGTGCAGTACAATGATGAAAATAGAAATTCCCAGAAGGAGACCCAATCGTGAAGTGCAGACACTATGCGTAACAAGTAGTTGTTACAGAAGGTTACGGTTATAAAAAGATTGTGTGTAAGTTCTTTAGGCTAGAGCAACACCAACATCCTTATACCTCCCAATATAGGCAGTACTAACATCCCTGCACCCAACTTGTGAGGTACTTTCTTGGAAGAATAATTAACGGATTGTGCAAATAAGTCTTAATTGGGATCCAAGAAGAGAATTTGATTGGGAGAGTAGTCTGACAAGTAACCAAGACT